GAGAGAGAGAAAGAGAGCAGAGAGAGAGAGGAGAGAGAGAGAGAGAGGGAGAGAGGAGACGAGAGAGATCCGGAGGAGAGAGATGAGTGAGAGGAGAGAGAGCGAGCGGAGAGACGCGGCACGTTGTGCTCTTTGAGAGGTCGAAGGGCATCCGCGATCAGCCGAGCCCTCTCTCACCCCGGCGACACCCACTGCCTCTCTGCTCGTTTTTGGAGATCCTTATGCCGTCGAGAAGATCATCTCTTCTCCAAGCAGAAATTTCGCCTGTCTGGAAGGAGGAGAGGGTTGAGGGAGAAGGGGGACAGGGGAGAGGGTTTATTTTGTTGCATTTCCGTGGCGTAGATAGATAATAGAATAGGTGGCCTAGATGATAGACTCGATTGTGGGTTCTATTCTGTCTGTGTTTTTAATTAATTTTTTTTTTATTTATTTAAATATTTATCAAAGGGGAAAACGAGTTGTTATCTATTGTCGGATATTTTCGGTCGAATTTTTTCTATTTGACTTTTCATCACTTAACATACATATACTTTTGATATATATATATTTTTAATCTCTTTTGAGAATAGTGGTATGGAGAAAAAGTTGAAGAAACGTAATCTCAGTCTGGAAAAAAAAAATGTGTTGTTTCCGGACATTTTGGAAAAAATTCTGTAGCAAATTTAATCTTTAAATTTTTGCAGATTTTCCCTGTTTTTTCATAGATTGGCAATTTGTTCAGGCGGCTTTTTTGAAGGGAATATATATAGAGGAAATATCTGAGGAGATTCAAACAGTGTGCAAAAAAAAGAAGAAAGAAAAAATGAGTCAATTTTTATTTTTCTCTTATTTTCTTTGCGTGCTTTTTCGACATTCATGTGAAATTTTTGATGAATTGATGTTTTATTTTTTTTCTACCAGATTTTTTTCATATCTGATATTTCTATACTCAGAGTTTATATATATAATTCCATACTTGCTTTTGAGGTAAATTCATGGAGAAAAAGTTGAAAAAAAAAATTCCCGACAGACAGTCTGGGGATGGTAAAAAGAGTTTAGTCTCGCCCTCACCCTCCCCGGTGCGTTTTCTACATCCTGGGAAATTCGATAGAAAATGGGTTCCAGCATTTAGATTTACATATTTATTATTCTATACTACCCCACCGCGTCATTTCCTCCCCTCATAAGGTCAGCGACCTAAGTTCACACCTCATTTCCTCCCCCTCATCAACTCGTCCTCACCCGGCGCTCATTATTCCTCCCCCCTGCCATAACTCAGCTACGGCTACCTCATTTCCTCCCCCCTCCATACTCAGTCAACTCACCGTCATTTCCTCCCTCTCCCGATAATCAGTAACTCACCCTCATTTCCATCCCTAGCGATCAACACTCAACATAACTCACCTCATGTTCGCTCCCCTCATAACTCCATAACTCACCTCATTTCGCTCGGCCCTCATAACTCACAGTACGTAAGCTCACCTCATTTCCTCCCGCGCCATAACTCATAATCACGCTCAATTCGCCGTCCCCTCGATAACTCAGTAAACTCACCTCATTCCCTTCGCCCTCATAACTCAGTAACCACGCTCATTTCTCCGCGCTCATAACTCAGTAACTCACCCTCATTTCGGGCTGCGCCCTCACAACGTCAAGTAAACTCACCCTGCATTCCCTCCCCTCAATAACTCAGTGAACTCACCTACATTTACTACGGCCCTCATACTCAGTAACTCACCTCAATTTGCCTCCCCGATCATAACTCAGTAAGCTCACCGTCATTTCCTCCGCCCTCATGAACTCAGTAATCACCTGCATTCCCCTCCCGTCATTACTCAGTCACAATCAAGCCTCAATTCCTCCCCTCATAACTCAGTAATAGCCACCTCATTCCCTCCCTCATAAACTCAGTAACTCACCATCATTCCCTACGCCTCATAAACTAGTAACTGTCACGGCTCATGTTACTTCCCCTCATAAAGTCAAGTAACTCACCTCACATTTCCTCCCCCCTCATAACTCAGGTAAAGCTCAACATCATTTCGCCCCCTCATAACTGGGCAGTAACTCACCAGCTGCATTCGGTCCCCTCAATAACTCAGTCTACTCACGCTCATTCCTCCCTCATAACTCAGATAACTCCGGCTCATTCCCTCCCCTGCATAACTCAGTAACTTCACACATCATTCCCATCTCCCCCTCATAACTCAGTAACTCCCCTCATTACTCGGCCCTATACAAAACTCAGTAACTCCACCCTCATTCCCTCCGCACTGCATAACTCAGTAACTCACCTCATTTACTCCGGTCTCATAACTCAAGTAACTCAACGCTCATTTCCTCGCCCTCATAACTCAGTAACTCACCTCATTTACTCCCCCTTACTCAGATAATCAGACCGCTCATTCCTCGCCTCTACTCAGATAACTCAACAGCTCATTCCGTCGGCCCTCATCAATCAGTAACTCCACCTCATTCCCCTCCCCGTCATAACTCAGTAACTCACCTCAATAATATACTCCACTACCACCACTCAGTACTCACCTCATTCCCACCCTCATAACTGCCAGTAACTCACCTCATTTTACTCCCCTATAACTCAGTACTCACACGTCATTCACGTCCCGCTGCCATAACTCAGTAACGTCACCTGCATTCCTCCGCTCATAACTCAGAATAACTCACCTCAAATTCCCATCCCCTCAATAACTCAGTAAACTCCCAACCCGGCTCCATATGTCCTCGCCTCAGCAACTTCAGTAACCTCAGCCTCATTCGCTCCCCTCATAACTGCAGTAACTTCACCTCAATTCGCCTCACCCGACTCATAACTCAGTAAACTCACCTCATTTAGCTCCCGTCATAAGCTCAAGTAACTCACCTGCATTCCTCGCCCTCATAACTCAGTCAGCTAATATTCCCCTCCCCTATAACTCAGTAACTGCACCTCATTCCCTCCCCTCTGTCACTGCTCTTTTACATAACTCAGTAACTCACCTCAATTCCCTCCACCCTCATAAACTCAGTAACTCCACCTCTTCCCTCCCCGCGTGCATTAACTCCAGTAACTCCCTGGCATTTACTCCCCTCACAACTCAGTGAACGTCACCTCATTCCCTCGCGCCTCATAACTCAGTAAGCTCACCTCATTTCCTCCCTCATAACTCAGTAACTCACCTCATTATCCTCCCCTCATAACTCAGTAATCACCTCATTTCCTCCCCTCCATAACTCAGTCACTCACCCATCATTCCCTCCGTCATAACTCAGTAACTCACCTCACTTCTCCTCATAAACTCAGTAAACTCACTCATTCGATAACTGCAGTAACTCACGCCATTTGCCTCCCCTCATAACTCAGTAACTCACTCATTTCGCTCCCCTCATAACTCAGTAAAACTCAGCCCTCATTCGGCCTCCCCTCATAAGCTCAGTAACTCACCTCATTTCCCTCCCACGTCATAACTGGCAGTACTCAACGACTTCAATTTCCTCCCCTTCAACGTATCGTCGCTATTCCCATCCACCAGTCTCACGCTCATTCCCTCGCCTCATACTCCGATCTCACTCATTTCTCCCTCATAACTCAGTCACTGAACTCAATTCCCTATCTCATAACATCATCAGCTCACGGCTCATGTCCAATCACCCGTCATAACCAGTAACACGCTACATTTCGCTCGCCCGTGCACAGCAACTCAGTAAGCTCACGTGTCATTTCGGCTCCCCTCATAACTCAGGTAAACTCACCTCATTTCCTCCCTGCAATAACCTCAGCTTCACCTCATTACCCAATCCCTCATAACTCAGTAACTCACCTCATTTCCTCCCCTCATAACTCAGTAACTCACCTCATTTCCTCCCCTCATAACTCGAAACACCTCATTTCCTCCCCCCATCTCAGTAACTCAGTCATTTCCTCCCCTCACAACTCAGTAACTCACCTCATTCCCTCCCCTCATAACTCAGTCACTCACCTCATTCCCTATCCTCGTGACACCTGTCGGGCGAGGCCAAAGGGACCCGAAAGGACCACAGGTGAGTTTGCAGGCGTTGAGGCCAGGTAGGATGCGCACGCCCACGTTCTCCTGTTTGACGCATGTCTCGTTCGCGCACGCCCATCCCCACGGGCTCGGGAGTCTGTGGGCGGGGAGGGGAAGGATGGGGTTATTGTTGTTGTTGTTTAGTGGGTGGTGTGGTTGCTGTTGTTTGGTTTGTTGTTGTTTTAGTGGGTGGTGTGGTTGCTGTTGTTTGTTTGTTGTTGTTGTTTTGTGGTGGTGTGGTTGCTGTTGTTTGTTTGTTGTTGTTAAGTGGGTGGTGTGGTTGCTGTTGTTTGTTTGTTGTTGTTGTTTGTTATTTGTTTGTTGTTGTTTTGTTGTTATTATTGTTATAATGATGGTAATAATTAATTATTAGTCAGTCAGTCACTCTGTTTGTCTCTGTCTCTTTCTCTTCTCTTCTTTTCTTTCCTCTTCTTCTCTCTTCCTTCTCTTTTCACTCTCGCTCACTCTTCTAGCGTCTCTCTCTCTCTCTCTCTCTCTCTCTCTCTTCTCTCGTCTCGTCTCTCTCTCGATCTCCTCTCTCTCTCTCTCTCTCTCTCGTTCGTCTCTCTCTTCTTACTTCGTCTCTCTCTCATCTCTCAACTCACTCACTCACTCTGCTCTCTCTCTCCCTCCCTCCCCTCCCCTCCTCTCCATCTGCTTAGAGAGTGAGAGAGAGATGGAGAGGGAGAACTGCT